TAAATTTTGATGTTTAGTCATTCATTCATTCATTCAGTAGCATGTCCCTCGCGGAACCTCGCTGCCATAACAACCCTCCGGAAAACCTTCCTATCATGAGCAAGATGTCCTGCGTCTGATACACCCATCTGGAGATCATCTGCCACATCCTGCACCCATCTTCTCCTTGGCCTTCCTCTTCCTCTCTTCCCAGGCATATACCCCTCCATTATTGTTCTCTCTAGACCTCCATGACGTTTCAAGTGACCAAAATATTTCAATTTCCTTTGTTTTATTGTCTTTACTAGCCAACCCTCTTCAATATTCAGCTCTTGAAGTATGGATGCATTTGTTCTTTTCTTTACCCAAGATATTCTTAGAACCTGTCTGTAACATTTATATTCAAATGCATTTATGCGCTGTTCCGCTTGTTTAGTAAGTGTCCAGGTCTCACAGGCGTATGTTGCAATGGGAAAGATGCATGCTCTTAAAAATCTGACCTTTGTAATTCTATCTGTACAATTCCATAATTTATTCAGTTGTTTTAGTCTTTGAAGAGCAATGGATAGTCGCCGTTTAATTTCTTTCATTGTGTCACCATTGTTGGTAACCAGTGACCCAAGATATTCGAAATTTTCCACCACCTCCAATCTTTCCTCATTAACATATATTTCCTTCTCCATGGCAGTTTTGTTTGTATGCATTATCTTTGTTTTTGCTGTGTTAAGAAATAAGTTATGATTTTCACTATTTCTTTGGAGTGAGGTTAATAAGTTTTCTAAACCATTTTGTGATGTTGATAGTAATACTGTATCATCAGCATAACGAATTTCTGGTATTTCATGACCACCGATATTTAGGGCATCATATTGTTCCTTGTTTATATCATCTCTTACATTTCTCATTATATTTTCGGCGTACAGGTTGAACAAATACGGTGACAGCACACATCCCTGACGGACTCCTTGCTTGATGCCAAACCAGTCTGATGTCTCTCCATCTATTCTGACTGCTGCTTGTTGGTCTTGATAGAGCATTTTAATGAGCTGCACTATATGTGATGGAAAGCCCATATTCCTCATGATTTCCCAAAGCTTCTGATGTTGTACACAGTCAAATGCTTTTGAATAATCCACAAAACATAAGAACAGATTTACATTAAATTCTCTACACTTCTCTATTCTTAAACGCATGTTGAATATATGATCTCTTGTTCCTCTTCCCTGTCTAAATCCAGCCTGAGCTACATTAATCTCTTCTTCCATTTTGATGTTTAGTTCTAATGATAAATTGCTCGATCATTGCAAGCGAGTTGACGTTAAACATTTTGAGCTCATCCATCTCTTCCATGCAACTTATAGATGCGAGTCATATATTCTTATCCAATCCTTGAAGGACAAAAATTGGAGCTTTTAAACAGAAAGGCAACATACACATTCTTAGAGTGCCGCAGACCAATAAGAAAAAGAAACCAATATCATACATCACCTGAACATCAAAAAGAACTGTCTCGCAAACAGCACCCTGCTCTAGAAGCTAAGGTGTCTTAGCCATTTTAAAACTTTGGATCTTCTCTCCAGGCAATGCCGGCGTAGTGGGTAATCAACAGGCAGACAGATTGGCTGGATCTACACCAGTGGGACGTGAACTGATACATGACACGGCAGATGCGGTCAAGGCACTTTGGGAACAAGCAACGGAATCAGTAGAGAATCAAGATTATTATGGCCTGGAGAGAATGAGTCACCTGAGTGTAACCAGAGGGTTTGGCCGGCTTACTGCACTCAGAGGAAAGGCGAAACGGACCTATAACTAGATTGTGTACAATCAGTATTGGAACTCTGCGCTGGCTGCTGAAGATGAGGATGGAGCACGCGTGGGAATGCCCTGCGTACTGTGATGTCAATTCTTCACTCAACTCAATTTAAGTAGCCATTTTAAACGTCAGGTTATCTGGAGAGAACGGCGATAGCGGGTGCAGTTCCTGAAGAACGATCCAGAGGCCGACCTACGTGGACGTAGATAGAAGACATTAAAGACTTATTGGCTATGAAAACAAATAGGGCTGAAAAAGTGGCTAGAAAAAGAGAGTTTCATGCTTGCCGTGAAGAGAGCGACGTTCTGTAAATTACATGTTGACTTCCCTGTGTGTGTTCCTTGAACCGGTTATAGGGAAAACAAAAATAGACCCACTGCCTACCCAAAAGCATGTCGTAAGAGTCTACTAACTGTGAGTTTCCTTCAAAGTCTGAGTGCAACTGCCTGAGCGGCAAGGAACGAGTAGTCTGCATACAAAAGAGTCATATCTGTAAAACGGATGCACACGCAACGCCGAGGTTCTGGAACAGGACTGCAGTCAGAAGTGAATGAACAACCAGAACTTTCCGCCAGAGTTTACAGCTTGTCAGCGCAAAGAAGAAGAAGAAGAAGAAGACATGTTGATTATTAATCTTCCCCATAAATCTCAAGACCCGTCTATTCGTACCATATTTTTCACAACCGTTGTATGATTTCCCCAAGCAGACTGTGGAGTGGCAACAGACCTACACATACCTGGAGTCACTGATGGAAAGAGGCGGCAAGGTATAGAGAGGAGTGGAAGCTAGTGATATTTGCAGCAACAAAGCTCAAGAACAAGAAAAGGGGTTGGCGCTTTCTTCATTTACAGTCGAGCTTTATGTCAAGGTTGTGAAAAAAAAGTGTTTTTGGTGCAACACGTCAGATTTCAACAAATCCCTGAATGGCCGCCTTTTACGACATGCTTGTTACCGTCATAAGGTTTATTCTATTTTGTTGCCATCCAAAATGTGGTCTAAGATCCACACGGAAAAATGCCCCACCCCCTACAAAAAAATGCACTGCTATTTACTGGCTTTACTATACCACTCTTCCAGTGAGGACAAGGGGGCAGGGGGAGGTAGGGTCTTTGAGTGTGAGGATTTGGAGCCGCATGGCTAGTGCTGTCGCCACGGACTGTGTAGATAGAAAATTCATTTTTGCCCCCGACAGAAAAACAAATTACCTTATCGAGGATTCGAACCCGGTTCTCTCGTATGAGAGCCCACCGTTCTAACAACTAGGCAATCCTCTCCTGATCCTGTAGGTATCTGTAGCTTAGACATTACTAACGCCCTTCGTAACTCCCAGGTTCTCTGTTCGATTCCAGCTGCAGGCGGTTTGGTAGCAGACCGCTTTGCGTTGATTTCGACAAATGTACTGAGAGCCCACCGTTGAGAAGGCAGTGGCAAACTACTTCACGTAAAATTGCTTACTAACAAACCAAACAGCCGAAAAATGATGGAGTTTGCTATGTGACGTCCTGCAAAGGATACGTACCTAACTTTACTGTGATAATGAAATGCAACCGGACATTATGAGGCTGACCGATCGGCAAAGTTAAGTGAACGATTGCCTCAGCCTGATGCTGAAGTAACCCGCTGTGATATCAAGAGGTTTATAATTAGCACATATAATCCGAGGGAGAGCAATAAGGCAAGACGTAAACAAGATAACACTGACTGCGACGGTAGAACTGTCATATGATGGCTAGACCTTTACTGCAAGAGTGTCTGACGTGCAGGACAGCAAGAACCACCATCACTTGGACCTGCACGTTTTGAGGACAAACTTTATAGTTAAAGCTTCCTTAGCGAACGAACATTTTCAGTTGCAGTGAGTAATGAAGTTTCCAGGCCTCATTTTCAGGAGGACGGCACCCCTCACGGTTCGGTTATCTCCCCCATCATCTTTAACATCCTAGTCAACGACATAAGGGAGGTCATTGCCAACCCTGAGGTGGAATTATCTCAATTTGCCGACGACTGTGCGCTGTGGTGCAGTAATACTGGAATTCGCCATATAGCAGAGTGGATGAATAAATAGGGGTTTCTAATCAACGTGGCCAATTCGGTAATGATGCTATTTGACAACAAAGCAGTCAAAAGATACAAACCGAATGAAAGCCGTTTCGACGTCAATGACCTAACAGTCCAGAGAAAGCCCCACACAAAGCTGAGCTGGAGGAAACACGTCGAGACGACAGCAGAAAGTTGCAAACAGTATCTCAACATGCTGAGACTCATTAAAGGGACTGGCTGGGGTGACCATACTAGAACAATGACCATGCTTTATAAAGCTTTCATCAGGGGGAACCTAACTATGGCTACATAGTTTATGGGACGGCTGGCCAGAACCTCCTGCAATTTCTTCTTGCATCCATTCTTACCAAATAAGACAGATTGTCAACGAGACATCAGATGTTCAAAGCTAGTAGCATCCAGACCTGTTCCTTCTCTCCTTACCTAGGAATCTATCTCTCACCCTCACTCCTTCCACCCGACTTTATGTCTTACGCAGCATTCAATTGTTTAACCTATGTTACATCACCACTACTTCTATACTATGTGTGGCCAGAAGAAACCTGGATTTAAAAAAAAATATTGAAAAACAAGAGCCAAAAATAACAAAACAGAGCCAAAAAACAAAAGCCAAAAATAACAAAACAGAGCCAAAAAACAAAAGCCCCCCCCCCCCTTCCCCCCCCCCAAAAAAAACAGAGCCAAAAAAAAAAGTAGGGCCTTGTGAGTGGCAGGCTTGTCGGGATGGTGTGCTAGGCGGCAGCCATGGTGCAGTTAGTAACGGCGTTAACTAACAAAAACCACAGAAACCAGCTCAGAAACCAGTGGTATGTATGTCCATAACAGGAACTCGTCAGGCGTACCATTACGCCACAAGAAAGGAAGGGCACCAAGTACCACAAAGGAACACGGGACTTAAAACCAAGCCCTCGAGGCAGGTTGAAAAGTCCAAACATTTTTGTTTCCACTTATCAAGGTCAAGGTGCAACTGGTTGTTCCTTGTCAGATGTACTCCAGCTTCGAAGGAAGCTACCAATTAGTCGACTCTTACAAGTGTGTATGTTTTTTTTTCTCCCCCCAAACTCAGTATTATTATTACATGTAAGACAAGAGTGTTTTTTTTTTTTTTTTTTTAAACATGCAAAATTGTATTCAGTTTTTATAATGTTTTCATCATTGTCTTCAAAACAGAATATGTGGTCAAAAAGATGCGGCCATGTTTCTCTGTGGCTGGTCCACGTGACACTCTGGCTTGTTGGGACATGTAGAGATCCGTTACATCTGTCGCCGTTTCTGGAGAGAGGCGATATCAGATCTGCCTTGGAGCTCAGCGAAGTCAGGGATCCCCAAAAAGTAATCCCGAAGAGCTACGCTGGGTTTATAACCGTGGACAAACAGCTGGGCAATCATTTGTTTTTCTGGTTTTTCCCTGCCATTTCAGAACCTCTCGCGCCGGTTCTTGTGTGGCTGAATGGCGGCCCTACAGTTTCTTCCATGTTTGGTCTACTGTGGGAAAACGGACCTATCAGATTTACTAAAGACGTTGGAGCTGATGGTAATAAAACCTCTTACAAAAGATGGGAGAAATCCTGGGCAGAATCGTTTGCTATGCTATATATAGATAACCCAGTTGGTACTGGCTACAGTTATTCAGACAGTGGTCAACGTGGATGGAAAACTACCAACGATGGATACACAGAGGACTTGTTCTCTTTCATTAGCCAGTTCTACATATTATTTCCTGACTATTTGAACACCCAGTTATACATCGGAGGACAGTCTTACGCTGGGAAATATGTCCCATCTGTGGCTGTTAGGATACACAAGGAAATCAAGGCAAACAGATCATCGATACCCCTAGCTGGAATCTACTTGGGTGGCCCATTATTTGATCCTTTTACCCAGAGTGTATCACAGGGTCGGTTTTATTATTCTCTTGGAGCAATATCATATGCACAATATCTCAGTCACCAGAAATCTGTCAGACAATTATTTGATAGAAATGACACACGTCGAGAAAGTATGAGAACTATATTCCAAAAACTTACCAGTGTGATACCGTACATTGACAGTAATTACCATACGGGAGAGCACATTGATTACGATCTGATTCAAGATCTCATGAACACAAGACACATTCGACAAATGGTTCATGTTGGGGACCAGCTGGAGTTTAAGGTATCGAACCGAGCTCTTAAAGACAAGTATGCACCTGACGTACTGATAAGTACGAAGCCACAGCTGACAGAGATCATGGGCAAATACAAGGTACTCATTTATTCCGGGGATTTTGATGGGATCGTTACTGCTGTGAATACTGAAGAAGCCATTTTGTCGACACCTTGGTCCCTCCAGTGTGTTTACAATGAGTCAGACCGACACATATGGAAGTATGATTCTACAGTTGTAGGTTATTATACACATGTAGGCGGGTTCTGTCGAGTGATTGTCCGCAATGCTGGTCACCAGACACCTCACGATCAACCGGACATCACACAGAAGATGATGTTGGACTTTGTTCGTCACGGTTGTATTCAGCAAGGTGCCAGTAAGTTGCTGCTTACATTTTACATTTACTTACCCTGTCACCTATTCATTCACTCACACATTCACTCATTCATTGGCTAATTCACTGACTTCTTCCTATCCGTCTCTTACTCATTTCCTTCCTCACTCACTCACTCACTCACTCACTGAGATGTACTTCTTTCCGTCACTTAATCCCTCTCTTACTCACTCCCTCACCCACTCACTCACTCACTCACTCACTCACTCACTCACTCACTCACTCACTCACTCACTCACTCACTCACTCACTCACTCACTCACTCACTCACTCACTCACTCACTCACTCACTCACTCACTCACTCACTCACTCACTCACTCACTCACTCACTCACTCACTCACTCACTCACTCACTTACCCACCCACTCACTCACTCCCTCACTCACTCACTCACTCACTCACTCTTTCACTCACTATGACGTATAACTCTCCATCACTCAGTCATACCCTACATCACTCACTAACTCACTCCCTCCCTCACTTACTCACTTACTTAGTGAGTCGTACCTTTTTCCGGAAATCTGTAACTCAGTCACTTCCTTGCCATTCACTGACTCCCTCGTTCACTCCCTGAGACATACTTCTCTCAGTCACTCATATATTCACTCACTTATTCACTCACTCACTTTCTAACTCACTCACTCACTGACTTTCTCATTCCCTCAATCTCACTGATTCACTCACTCATTCACTGATGACTTACTCCTCTCCATTACTTACTCACTTTCTTCCTCAATCATTCACTCACACACCTGCTCGCTAAAAACTCACGCACTCATTCACTCGCTGAGACGTACTTCCCTCCGTCACTCACTCACTCACTCACTCACTCACTCACTCACTCACTCACTCACTCACTCACTCACTCACTCACTCACTCACTCACTCACTCACTCACTCACTCACTCACTCACTCACTCACTCACTCACTCACTCACTCACTCACTCACTCACTCACTCACTCACTCACTCACTCACTCACTCACTCACTCACTCACTCACTCACTCACTCACTCACTCACTCACTCACTCACTCACACGCACACTCACTCCTTCACTCACTCACTTACTCATTTACTCACTGAGACGTACTTCTCTCCATCACTCAGTCACTTCCTTACTAATTAACTCACTCACTCATTCAATCTCATCCACTGAGTCACCCATTCATTCAATAAGATGTACTTTTCACCATAAATCAGTCACTCAGTCACTCCCTTACGCATTCACTCACTCACTCACTCACTTACTCACTCACTCACTCACTCACTCATCCCCTCATTCACTCACTGAGATGTACTCTCACTGTCACTCATGCATTCACTCACTCACTCACTTACTCTCATTCACTAATTCACTACTCACTCATCACTGAGACGTACTTCTCTCTGTCACTGACTCACTTCCCGTACGCATTCACCCACATACACGCTTACGCACAAACTCGGCCACTCACTCAGATACAAATTCACACACTGAGACGTACTTCTCTCCGTCACTAAATCATCCCCCTTGCTCACCCACTCAATCTTTCACTCATCCACCCACTCCCTCATGCGCTCACTGAGACGTACTTCTCTCCGTCACTGAGTACTTAATCACTAACTCACTCACGTACTCTTTCACTCACTGAGACGTACTTCTTTCCGTCACTCACTCACTCTGTCATTCATTCGTTCACTCATTCACTCACTTACTTACTCATTCTATCATTCACTCTCTCATTAAATCCTTAACTCACTCACTCACTCACTCACTCTTTGATGACTTACTCCTCTCCTCCACGCACTCACTCAAGCATTCGCTCGCTCACCCACCCACTAACTCACTCACTCACTCCCTTATTCACTCACTCTCGCCTTGAGAACTCAGGCTACAATCTTTTTCTCCCCCTGAGAAATCTGGCTACAATCTTTTTCTCGCCTTGAGAACTCTGGCTACAATCTTTTCCTCGCCTTGAGAACACTGGCTACAATCTTTTTCTCGCCTTGAGAACACTGGCTACAATCTTTTTCTCGCCTTGAAAACTCTAGCTGCAACCTTTTTCTCGCCTTGAAAACTCTGGCTACAATCTTCTGCTCTTCGATAAAGAAAGCAGACTTGTCAATTCTTGTTGCGCTGTGACCTTTCATATACACGAATATTGTCTTTTGATTTTTGCTTACTCAGCTTTTCGGGGCACATAGATCGCCCCCGCCCCCGCCCCACCCCCTGAGGGGGCCTTTTAGTCTCTACAAACGGATGTCTGTAAAAAAACCTTCTGGCAGTAATAAACGTGTGTCTTGGAGACCTTGCCGCGGGTAAGATTTGTGTTTCAAGACAGACATTGTCCGATTGTATGTTCGTATGTGTACTGTTGGTTGCAATAATCTTTATGCAGGCTGGTACCTGATGGTTTCACAGTCTGGAATTACATAATCCTTGTCAGGATGGCATTCCAACACTTTAAATCCTAGTTGAAGTAACGGTTAGACCAACCTGGAGTAAACTACATAGCCTGTGTGTGTAAGAATATCCTCTTTATGTTTTCTCAGGTAAACATCTGATATTGGTGTCTCCTACACTTATCCATATGTCTTATACACATACATATATTTCATCTTCAGCATCGCCATCAGGTCCGACATCTCCACCACCAGGTACATCTGGTTCATCGCTATCACCTGCACCATCTTCTGCAGCAGCGAGCCCTATCACCGCCACTCTGTTAGCCATGAATGTTCTCACAGTTCTGCTGAAGTTATTGGGAAAATAGCAGCCTAAACGTGACGTCATCATGTCCAGGTAAGATAACTCTTCAATATGTTGATAATATCCACTTGCTTTAATATTGTTTTAAAAAAAAAGGTATTTTCGGAAATTCTACTAACACCACCACTACAACTACTATCAGTACTACCACTTTATTTTAGAAGTAGTAGTAGTAATACTACTTAGTCGGCGTCTGTGGCTTTTACAAACGCGCTTTATAATGCCGGGGTGCCAGGTTCGATCCTAGCTGCGGGCTTTGCGCCTTGCGTAGGTTTCGACAGTGGTATCAAGAAGCCGACCGTCCAGAGGCAATGGCAAACCACTGGACGTAAACTTGCCTGGGAAAACCACAACAGCCAAAAATGATGGTGTTGGTTCTGCAACGTCCTGTAAAGGATACGCAACTAACTTTAGTACTAATACTATCGGTTGGCCACTTTTCTTCTTTCCAGACGATAGTGTTATATTGCGCTGTGAGGAGGCATGGGACCGACAGTCCATGGCGATGGACAGTGTGACTATCAAGAACCGCCCGCGTTAAGGAAAGTCTTCCACAATGATAGCATGGGATTTCAGAACCGTTGTTGATAACATTTGTGTTGAGTCTGTTTCTTCTCAGACGCTCAGCTCTCATCCTTTCTGCAATCATTTCTTCCTTTATTCATACTTCCTTCCTGTTGTGCCCCCTCAACACAACTTCTACCACTACTACTGCTACAACCACTAACACAAATTTTATTACTACTAATACTACTACTACTACTACTACTACTACTACTACTACTACTACTACTACTACTACTACTACTACTACTACTACTACTACTACTACTACTACTACTACTACTACTACTACTACTACTACTACTACCACCACCGCTACCACTACTACTACTACTACTAGTCAACTACTACTACTACTACAAACACTACTAAAACTACTACTACTACTACTGGTAGTACTGCTACTACTGGTACTACTACTACTGCTACTGATACTGCTACTCATACTGATACTACTGCTGCTACTACTGCTGCTTCTGCTGCTGCTGCTGCTGCTGCTACTACTACTACCACCACAATTGCTACTATAACCATTACTTAGTTGTCTTCGTATTATTATTGGTAATATTCTCCTTCTTCCTGCCATCTCCGGGTAAGACGACAAAGTGTTGTGAGGATCTTTCTGTCATCTCCGGGTAAGACGACAAAGTGTTGTGAGGATCTTCCTGCCATCTCCGGGTAAGACGACAAAGTGTTGTGAGGATCTTTCTGTCATCTCCGGGTAAGACGACAAAGTGTTGTGAGGATCTTTCTGTCATCTCCGGGTATGACGGCGACACAGTGTTGTGAGGATCTTTCTGTCATCTCCGGGTATGACGGCGACACAGTGTTGTGAGGATTTTTCTGTCATCTCCGGGTATGACGACACAGTGTTGTGAGGATCTTTCTGTCATCTCCGGGTATGACGACACAGTGTTGTGAGGATCTTTCTGTCATCTCCGGGTATGACGACACAGTGTTGTGAGGATCTTTCTGTCATCTCCGGGTAAGACGACAAAGTGTTGTGAGGATCTTTCTGTCATCTCCGGGTAAGACGACAAAGTGTTGTGAGGATCTTTCTGTCATCTCGGGGTAAGACGACACAGTGTTGTGAGGATCTTCCTGCCATCTCCGGGTATGACGACACAGTGTTGTGAGGATCTTTCTGTCATCTCCGGGTATGACGACACAGTGTTTTGAGGATCTTTCTGTCATCTCCGGGTATGACGACACAGTGTTGTGAGGATCTTTCTGTCATCTCCGGGTATGACGACACAGTGTTGTGAGGATCTTTCTGTCATCTCCGGGTAAGACGAAAAAGTGTTGTGAGGATCTTTCTGTCATCTCCAGGTAAGACGACACAATGTTGTGAGGATCTTTCTGTCATCTCGGTGTAAGACGACACAGTGTTGTGAGGATCTTCCTGTCATCTCCGTGTATGACGACACAGTGTTGTGAGGATATTTCTGTCATCTCCGGGTATGACGACACAGTGTTGTGAGGATATTTCTGTCATCTCCGGGTATGACGGCGACACAGTGTTGTGAGGATCTTTCTGCCATCTCCGGGTATGACGGCGACACAGTGTTGTGAGGATCTTTCTGCCATCTCCGGTATGACGGCGACACAATGTTGTGAGGATCTTTCTGTCATCTCCGGGTATGACGACAAAGTGTTGTGAGGATCTTTCTGTCATCTCCGGGTAAGACGACAAAGTGTTGTGAGGATCTTCCTGTCATCTCCGGGTTGATTTGATTCAAGAACCGA